ACAAATGCACAATACGTACACTCCGTCTCTGATATCGTCGGAATCGAAACCAAATATTTTCGCTCCAATGAGTGCCAGACTATAGACATCTATTAAATGGTTGTATTCAGTGGTCTGTCCTTCGGGTGCCATATAATTAACATTGTCTTTGAATTCTGCGGTGTTTTCAGCAGTACTTGGTTTATAATTATCACTCAATACATCCACTTCTTTAGACAAACCGAAGTCACATAACTTAATAAATGTTTTATTTATTTCACTATAATTCAAATAATTGTTGTCAATCAACACATTATCGGGTTTGAGGTCTCTGTGAATGATATTATTTTTATGCAAATACTCCACACTTTCGACCAATTGTTTGAATATTTCATATGATATATAATATTCAAAACCAGTCCATATTTTCCCAAATAATTGTTTTTTGTTTTTCAAAACATTTGTTAAATTTCCGGCCAAACAATCCATAAGAATGTATAAATTGTTGAATTGAATCCATGAATAGTAATATTGAATTATATATTTTGAGCGCAATTTTAACATTTTTTCCGTTTCTTTCAAAATATTTTGCTTCTGTTTTTCTAACAAACCTAACATTAAATACAATATTATTAATTTATATAATTTGACAATTAATTAGTTTAGTTATACCAATTAAGTTACATTTTTTAATTGCAAATATATCTCCATTAAAATCTGCTTTCACTCTAAACACGTGCCCAAAACCACCGGAACCTAACGTATCTAATATCTCGTACATATCGATGCCCTTTATTTCACGACCTGTTTCTAATAATTTATTATTATTTATATTTTATTATAATATAAATAAAGTGTATATTTCTTACCATAATTCTGTATTGTATTATTTGCCTGAAAACAATTATCAAGTTTAGTTAAATCGCAAGTTTTATAAGTCAGTTGAAATTCATTGGCAAAGAATTCATCAAATGTTGTATACTTTGTCTCAATAAACACATTTGGATCGATATATTCGTACACTTTGTTACCACTCATACCAACTAAAACACACTCATTATTTAAGTGAGCTAGATCAGTGTACAATAGGTTGCTCATCATAATCAATTCTGAATGGCAATAACATTTGTATACTTTGCAATCATTCGATAAAATAATTATTGCTGATATATTACAAACAACTCTTATATTATATACTTTTCGTAATAATTTTGGTGTATTTGTTATCTTATTATTTTTCATGTATCCCCACATAAACACCCGTCCATTGGATGTAATGCCATATGAGTTGTCATAACCAGAGATAATGTCCACAACTCTGTATTCAACGGGAAATTGTATTATAATTGGTTTTTGTCTATTCTTCGGATTGTAATCCCATTGAAATACCCGTCCATCCGATGCGAGAGTAATGGCTGTGTATTGAAAACATGATATTTTCTCAATACGTATATCATGTGAATTACATAGTATTTTATGGGGCTTTGTATAAAGATCTCCTCTAAGAGACTTGATGTGACCCCAACCATATAACAAGTAATCATGATCAAAAGTTAATACAAAATTTTTGCCATCAAAAAATTGTTGTATTTTGTGATCACTTAGTTCTGGGACTTCTTCCGGTGTATCGATGGGTCGGTTGTGTCCCAAACCCAACACTCCCTCACTATTAGTGCCCAACCCATAGACCCGATCATCGGTTGTCACAAACAATACGTTTTTCTCATCAGAAGAATCATTAAAAACATGAATTAATTTGATTTCTTGTCTTAAATTTGAAGGAATTTTGGCACAAATTTCAAACTTATTCAAAAACGCAGACATTAAATGTTAATTTAAAGTTATTATATTATTTTTAAAAAATAATTATTATTTATTAATTACTTACATAGTAAGTACTTCACAACAAGTAAGAAAATAAAATTTTTTGTAAAAAGTAAATTATAATTATTAAATTTTATTAATCCGTTGTTCATAATTAATATTATTGTATGATTTTAAATACGCAATTATAATTGTGATTATTATTATTTAATGATTACAATAATATATTTCATGAATACATGTTTGGTTGTTAGAGACGAACACAAAACACATGATAATTGCCATATAATTAAGGCAGGGACTAAATGAGTCATTTAATATTCAGGCTCATAAAAGTAGTGAATCAGTCAAAGGGTAACAAAAAATTCTTTATTCAGTTAATGTTATACATCTATAAAGTAGTTGTGATAATCATTATTATATTTTTAAAAATTGTACATTATTGACAAAACTATAATAAAAATGTACCAAAGTCCCTGCCATACATGTAATTCATAACAACCGATAACTCATTAATTAATATCAAAGTAGTGAACGAAATCTAAAACTATATAAATAACATGTTTTGTCTAAATATTGCTAATAATTTACCGAAACTTAAATAGTTATCCATTATATCCATTGAAATGACAGCAAATATATTGAATTCATTGTCATTATTGCTAAACATACGGATCATTAGACTCTATGGAAACTTAAAGTCGGCACAAATCGCAATAAATTGGAAATCTTCGAAATATATTGGCGTTTATATAAATCAAAATTAATAATAATTTGAAAATAATTGTAATTTCTATTCAATTATTGTAATCTCATTTAGTTGTAAAGTATAAAATTAATATTTTGTGGTTAATTATATGAAAATTTCAGCTTTTATTTTTGTTTAACATTTAAATGTATACTAACTTTAATTTTTTGCAATTATTATATAATTTAAATTGAAACAGTTTATGAAACTTAATTAAAAATTAAGCACTAATAATATTTTTGTTATAATAAATCTATGATGTCCGAACCTCGTTGAATATAGTCAACTGCGAGTTTGTCTGGAAGAATGGCAACTATGACGCCGTACTGGCCTCGGGTACGGCCAACCGCGAGGACCTGCTCTACCTGTCCCTTAGCGACGGCCGCGTGGAGCTCATCACCGGCATCGGAAGGTCCACCAAGTTGTGTAGTACTTAACAACGTCTAACTGAGCTAGATAATAAAATGCACACATACTCAGGCCTACCAACGGGCAAGTACGGGTATGTATTACACAACTTATGTACTGTATATGTGACTAATATTTGCCATTAATAGTTCCCATAGGAGTATGGCGTTGGCGGCCAAGTCTCGGTTAAAGAATATTCTGTCATCTGTTTTTTCAAAACGTGTAATTAATTTATAGCTATATTTACATAATGGTAGAAATCATGAGAAAAAATAGCATCCGAATAATAATTTAATAAAAATTCAATATGATAACAATTTTTTAGTCAAGGCAAAAAACAAAGTTTATAAACAATATTTATAATTTTATTTCAATTAAAACTTTTAATTGTATTTTTATTTTGTTTTATTAATTGAAAAACAATTTTAACACAAATTTTGTAATAAAAAAATCATGTTTTGAATGGATAAATAAAATTATTGAAAGTATTATTAATTAATATTATAATTAGTGGTCATAAAACATGATATCTTTGTACATTTGTAAAACAGTTAATTATTTATTTGTTTAAAAGTTTTATTGTAATATAAGTTATTACTATTAATATAACAACTATATATTTAATTAAAAGGGTTGTAAATGTTTTGTTTGTTTAGTTTTATTACAATAATAAATACATTTATAAAAACACTCAGAAACTAAACTTTTACTTAATTTATATCAATTAAACACTTATTAAACAAATAACAATTTATAATTTAATAAACGATTGGAAATCAGCGAAAATTATTAGCGTTTGTAATAACGGCAAAAATATTCACAATTACAAAGGTTTCTAATTAACAAATATTTCATATTATCAATACAATTTATAATACATGTGTCACAAATGCTAACCAATCCTACGACAGTGTATGCGATGAATGGAAAGTCCCAAAGTTTTAATGTTTAATAATTAATGTTTTATATGTTTTTACAAATAATTCCTAACTTTTAGTATTGTATAAATCCTAAACCTTTAGCTATCATTCCTGTATATAAGCCCTGCTTCTGTATGCCTTCACTTCAGTCTGGCTTTAGGTTCGCCTCAATAAACAGTGTTGTTTTAAGCCATTGTGTGGTCTCTAGACTCCGCGTTAGTCGTCGGGTGTACGGCACCGGTTCAGCGCCTCCGGGACCACCGTATGAGCTTATCCTGGTCGGGGAGCACCCGTCCAGTCACCCCCTGTCGTGGACGCTGCGAGAGCCCACCGGGGTGTCCAACAGTTGGCGACTACGTGCCAGGTTTGCGCTCACCTGTGGATCGGGACTGGCCCCGTGGTGGGACCCGATAGAGCCACTGTCCGGAGAGGATCCGAGGGCCCGTTGTGGCCTCAACCATCTGCAGGGAGTACCTGAGCTGAGAGGATCCGCACCCCCAACACAGGACCAG